ACTAAGATGATCAGAGGGCTGGAACACCTTTCCTGTGAGGAAAGGTTGAGGGAACTGGGCTTGGTTAGCTTGGAGAAGAACAAGCTCTGGGAAAACCTCATTGTGACCTTCCAGTACATGAAGGCAGCATATAAACAGGAGAGGGTATGACTGTTTATGAGGGTGGACAGTGATAGGACAAAGGGGAATGGTCTTAAACTGAGACAGAGGAGGTTTAGGTCAGATATTAGGAGTAAGTTTTGAAAAAAAAGGGTGGTGACACACTGGAACAGGTTGCCCAAGGAGGCTGTGGATGCCCCATCCCTGGAGGCATTCAAGGCCAGGCTGGATGTGGCTCTGGGCAGCCTGGTCTGGTGGTTGGCGACCCTTCACATAGCAGGGGGCTTGAAAGTAGATGATCGTTGTGGTCCTTTTCCACCCAGGCCATTTTAAGATTCTGATACATTTTTTTTAAGCGCTTGCTGCAACTCCCTGATAACCACCACTAGGTGGTAGTAACAACGCAATTTGTTGAAGAGGTTTTTCTTTTTCTTTTTTTTTTTTTAAGTTTGACAATGTGTTTTGTGTTCATGACTCGACGTGAAAAGGTTGTATGATGATGATGAAAAATCTGGCAGACATCAGATGTCAAGTAGAAACCACAGGCTCGCAGTCCAACCATGGGAAAGAACGGGTGCTCCCCCAGAGCCACAGACAGCATGACTACAAATACTGGAGATAAAGTGGATAGTGCTCAGTGTGTAGCAGCTGAGTGCGAGGGGAAGGGGTTGTTCTCCTTACTCTCTATAAAAATATTTCAGTATTTAAATGCTGAAATATTTGGATTCATGTTTGAGCTTCCACTTCTGCACCAGTACTCACTGGTCTGTTTTATTTTAAGGTCTGTAGTGCAGCGACTTTGCCTGGTGTATAATTTAATGAGAAAACAAGCAGTATTATTCTTAATGAAAGGATATTTATAAATATTATGAGGGGTAAGGTAAGACTGTCTCTTATTATTTGCTTGTGTATTTCTTTGTAGCTTGTGGCTATAAGACTGCTGCTAGTAACTGTTTTGATTCCAGTGGAAAGAGATATGAGGTAATCCTAGAATCACAGAATAGATTGGGTTGGAAAGGACCTTCCCAGGGCCCCATCCAACCCAGCCTTGAATGTCTCCAGACATGGAGCATTCACAGCTTTTCTGGGCAGCCTGTGCCACTGCTTTATCATCCTCCAAGATTTCCTCCTAACATCCAATCTAAGTCTCCCCTCTTATAGTTTGAAACCATTCCTCCTAGTCATATCACTATCAAACCATGTGAAAACTTGTTTCTTCTTCTGCTTCAAGAACTAGAAGGCTGGCTGAGGTCACCCTACAACTTTTTCTTCTCCAGACTGTACAAGGCTAGCTCTTTCAGCTTTTTCTCATAAGAGAGGTGCTCCAGCCCTCTGAGCATCTTCGTGGACTTCCTCTGGACCCTTTCCAGAAGCTCTACATCTTTCTTGCGTTGACACACCAGTCCTGAACACAGAAGATGATACTGTGTTCATCAGACTTATGTCCAAATATTGCACTACACATATATTTTCTTCACCTTTGCAGCCAAGTCTTTGCACAGGCAGCATGCCTGCAACCCAAGCGCAACTGAGGTTATCACACAAAAAAGTAATACTGCAATGTAAAATTCCTCTCCTTCTGTGTCCGGTATTACATAAAATATCTGACAGAAGAAATAACCTCATTCAACAAATTTAATTTTGAGAAGAAGGTATGATTTAAAAAAAAATGCTTGAGACAAATTTCAAAAACTTTGAGACTCAATATTTCGTGACCCAGGCGTTTCATATTTTTTACAATCATAGGACAGGTTGCATTAATATTCGGCTGTCTCAGTTACATGAATCTTCTGTTACTGTGTGTGCAATGATTACATAGCACTGTGATTTATTTGGCCCAGGTGTCTTACAACCTCAGCTTATCACCACCTTTTGGGAATACGAGAAAGACTATTCAGAGCAGCAGCTGTGGAGCAAGAAAAACAGCACCACCTGGACAAAAGATAATGGTAGGGAAATAGTCTTCCTACGTGTTCCCTTCCTCCATAATTTTCTTTTAGCCAGTCTGCTTCCACTGAAACCAAACTTCAAAAACACAGGCATCAGACTCAAGGCTGAATCTGTGACCTGACAAATTGAAGCAGCGATGAGCCAAAGCAGCAATGAGTCAAGCCCCGACTTCATGCACAGCCCAAGTAGATGCACTGTTGGAGACTTGACTGAGAACAGCTGTGCAAGCTGGTTACTGCATTGCGCTGAAACACCAGGATATTGCATCTAATCCTTCCCATTAGTAAAAAATCCACTCATAAGAGGTCAAGAAGCTGTAAAAGATGCAAAGTCTTTCCTTTCAGATGCATACTTCATGGTCTATTTTTACAGAAATGTCTGAAGCAGCCCTCATAGTTCAAGCTGTCCTGAGATTAATGGTTCAGGGAGAGTTAGCCAGCCTTCATAGCCATGGAAAAGTCATCAGGCTTCTCAGTTAGCACAACAAATTGATAAGGTGCTGTGCAAAGTGCTCTTTCATCTTCTGGCAGCCTGTGCCCCAGCCCTGTGTCAAATGCATTCGGAGGATGCCACAGGAATTCAGCCAAGTAAATATCTGCCACAAAAGTTCTCCCAGTAACGTCAAAGCACAGTTACTCAAAGGAAATGAGCCCTTCTCATAAATGTTGCTGAAAAAACCATTTTATTAGCTAATGGCAACACTGAACATTGCTTTCCTAGAACATCTACACCACAGCTAGTAGAAAATAAGCCAGAGGACACTGAAGCTTTATCACTTGTCACTGTGTTTGCCAGGTTAATTAGGGTTTTGTTCCTCTCTCTGACAGAGATTTTGCAGGTTCAGTAACTGTGAAGGGACAACCCTGCATCATAAGATTATAGGAGTTTATGGGAACTCAGCAAATGGGTATGTCTGGGCATCTGTTAGGGGCCCAGTGCCTCCCAGAAGCCCAATGAAGCTGAGCTGTGCTGCAGGGCTGGTCTGGGTTTGCTTGTGTCTATCCTGCTCTACTGCACTGGATCTGCTCAGGCTTTGCTGCTCAATAAATCAGCCAGAAAAGTACCCCCTTCTAGTGCTATGTTAGCTGGTCAACTCCAGCTCATTATGTTGCTGAACAAACTCAAGCAGAAGGAGGTTCCTTCAGCTGAAACCACTCGGAGTAACTGCCTCCAGGTAGCAAAAAAATGTGGTTTTAATCACCTCATCTCTATATATCTTTCTCAAAACCCTCAGATCCAGGCTTTAACTCCTGGAGCACGTGTGATGTCAAGTAGGCAAGTAGCAAGGGTTTGAGAAAGCCAAACTTGCAAGGGAATCTGAATGTGATCTCGAGTTTCCAAAGGAAAAAGTTCCACTCACTAGATCAGACACCAGCTCAAGCTGCCCAAGGCCCCATACAGCCTGGCTTTGAATGCCTCCAGTGATGGGGCATACACAGCTTCTGTGAGCATCCTATTCAGTGACTCACCACCCTCTGAGTGAAAAATTTCCACTTAATACTTGATCTAAATGTCCTCTCTTTTAGTTTAAAGCTCTTCGCCCTTGTCGTATCACTATCTACCCATGTGAAATGTCAGACTCTTACAGTTTACAAGCTCCCTTCAAGTATTGGAAGGACAGAATGAGGTCTCTCTGGAACATTCTCTTCTCCAGACTGAACAAGTCCAGCTCCTTCAGCCTTTCTTCATAGGAGAGGGGCTCCAGCGCTTTGATCACTTTCATGGCCCTCCTCTGGACCCACTCCAACGGTTTTACATCTTGTGTTGGGAACCCAGAGCTGGACACAGTACTCAAGATGAGATCTCACAAGGTTAGAATAGAGAGGGACAATCATCACCTTTGCCCTGCTAGCCACCCCTGTTTCAATGCAGTCCAGGATGCAGTTGGCTTTCTAGATTGCATGCACGTACTGCTGGCTCATGTACAGTTTCTCGACTGCTAGGGCTCCCAAGTCCTTCTCCACAGGGTTACTCTCAAGATAGTATTCTCCTAGGTTGTACATATATTTGGGATTACCCCAACCCAACAGCAACGCCTTGCACTTGGCCTTACTGAACCTCATTAGATTCTCGTGGGCCTGCTTTTTAAGCTTAATCCCTTTGGATTACATCTCTTCCTTCTGTTGTTCCAACTACACCATTCAGCTTGCTATCTTCTGCAAACTCACTGGCGGTGCACTCAATCCCACTGTCATTGATAAAGATTTAAAGAGCATTTGGTCCATGGTGTCCTTGAGGGCAGTGCACAGTTCTGATTCTCTCCCTTCAGAAAAGATGGTAGAAAAGAAAGTGTTGGGAACAAAACAGGGATTATGAATAAAGTGGAATATTAAACTAAGTAGGAGTCCATAAGAAGGGACTTGTGACACATGTTTAGAAGACACGTGCTGCCCAGGGAAGAAGTGTAAGAAAACGCTTCCTGCTGTCTCTGTAATGGGAGCTAATGGACATCATTCAACTGTCAGAGAAGGTTCACAACATAGAAAAAAACCGATCCATCACCCAAAATGTATTTAAGCTGTCATTCCTTGATTCAGCATCTGCTGGATGCTAACAATGATCACATTTTCAAAAAATGATTTGACAGCTTTAGGGAACAAAAATTCACAATGACTGTTGGTTGTGAGACTGCAGCTGTGCCTCAGATTGCCTTTGGACAGCAAAATGTAAGTGTGGGGGGATAGTACTGTTACTGCTCTTGTCACACTCCCTACACACTCTTTTTAATAAGGGTTAATAAATATATGGAGATTCATGTGTGAGCTCAAAGAAGCCATTTATGGGAAGTCCTCATAGGAAACACCTGTCACAGTAGGCCATTGATAGCAGCTACCACATTCAGTCATAATTAAACCTGAAGAGTCAATACCAAGTTGGAGGAACATTTGGTCTTTCCAGCTATGCCTTCCCTCATGTTCTTGCATGATGTCTTTGTGTTTTGTTATTCACAGCTCATGGCTGATCAAGCTACATCAAAACTTGAAAGGATAAACAGAAAGGTGGACTAAGGCGATACTGCAAACCCTTACCAAATGCTGAGGACAGTGGGGACAAAGGGACAAAGGCTGAGTTCCATCTGGCACCATATTAAAGGAGAAACATGACCCATAGGTATGTAAGTAAGTGTGCAGTAAGTAGCAGCAAGGAGAAACAGTTGTTTTGGTCATGTGGCAGCTGTGAGCCTAATGTGGGAATAAGTCAGAGATTTGTAGTGTTTGCCTTTTAAAAAGAAAGCTATAAAGCTCAGGTAATTGAACAAGTGTCACAAAAGCTGAGGCAGTGCTCAGGAAAATGGGAAGCGTAAGGAAAACTTATTCTGTTCTGTTTGTTGAGGTGTGACTTTACAACACGTACAAGTTATTTTCTTGAGTGAAATAGCTAAGAATTACATTAAAATGTTTTTTAATCTGACAGAGGAAGTTAGAAAAGCACCTAATGTTAAAGAAACATAAACATTCAAGTGAAAAATAAAACCAAGGTGCCTGAATGTGATTACCTACATGAGCAAACTACCCAACAGCCACAATATTCACATTTTCAGTTTGGAGGTTCAGGCAGAGGAATTAGGCTCAAATGTTCCTCCACGTTGTCACTGCAAGAGGCTCTGTAGTCCTTCTTGCTAGGCCTGGGTAAGCAGGCTAAAGAATATGGTCTGTTATATTCAGCTCTTCCCAAGTATGTTGGTTCTATTACTTGTAGCTTACATTTTTTTTCTTGTGCTACTTCAGTCCAAGATCGCCAAGTCTCCCCAGAGATGAAGCTCATTGGTATCTTTTCCACTATCCTTCCATCCCTTCCAAAAATAGTCCAAATTTTATTGTTCTTCATGCCCTGAAATTACGTTACAGAGTTTCTACACTTGTAAATGAAGTATATGCAACCACTATGTGCCTTCCTCCCCTCTCCTTAGTAACATTTGAATCCTTTGGCTATTATCAACCACAAGCAACAAGCTGAGATTTCACAGATAATTAAGATGCTACAAGTTTTGTGAAAATAGCTATGTAGGTAGAAGAGAGAGGAAAGAAGGACCATAGTGCAAACCTACATCTTATTAGTCATTAGAGAACTTGTATGATAGAGTGCCTTTATAAATAAATGCCCACTTATGCCTAGTGTCACCTGGGAATTTTACATGCTTGGACATCAAATTTAGTCAACTGGAAAAGAAAATCTCAATGAAAAGGGGTGTCATTAGTTCAGCTGCTCAGAAGGCACAGATAGCAGAGTCTAACATTATATATGGCTTGCCTGTTGAACTAGCTCAGCACATGCTGTTTATGACAAGGCCAGCTACTGTATCCTTGCATAGCTTAGGCTTTTCTTCTTCAAAAGGACGTCTGCATTTACAAGGTCAAAGAACAGACAAGGCTGTACCATCTTAATCCTTTTAATAGGATCTGAATGGGAACAGTTGAAACATGCCACAAAAAACTCAATCAGGCCGAATGATAATTTCTTCAAACTAGTCTCTCTCCTCCCTTGGGCTGCTGCCCAGCAGACTGCTCACTAATTTCTGCCCAAGAAATGCCACTGATTTTGATCAAGTGTTTTTTCCCCTACAGCTCCTGTTTTCCAATGATTATAAGACAAACAAGAGCTGATCCCTCAGGACTGGGCAGGACTCATCCATCATGTACTTGGCAGATTCCATTTTCAAATAGACTCCTCTAACCTGGTGTCTCCTAGAGTGCAATATTTGTATGTGTATATGAATTAATGCTGGCACATGAGTTGTTTTTGGAGTATTAGCTTGTGACTATTACTTTTTTCTAAATTATTGAACTTCCTTCCTTCCTTCCTTCCTTCCTTCCTTCCTTCCTTCCTTCCTTCCTTCCTTCCTTCCTTCCTTCCTTCCTTCCTTCCTTCCTTCCTTCCTTCCTTCCTTCCTTCCTTCCTTCCTTCCTTCCTTCCTTCCTTCCTGCCTTCCTTCCTTCCTTCGTTCCTTCCTTCCTTCCTTCCTTCTGTCTGCCTGTCTATTTTTTAACCTGGACATATTTAACAACCAAATCCACTTTTGAAACTGCACTTAGAAATGTTATCTTTTTTTGCTGTTTGGAAAAAAAACGTCCTTCCATCCTGAATAGATGTAAAGCTGTGTTTTCTTTTATGTTCTCCCTGTCTTCATTGCTCTTTAAACAAACTGTGGCCAAATGATTGTGCTAGTGCAGTGTTTCATAACAAAGCAGAGCCTTTCACATGGTGTTGGCTATTTCTAGGGCAGTGCATGTGCAAAATCAGTCCTCTTGCTTTATTTCTGTTGGAAACAGTTTAAGCTCCTATTACTAAGGGACTTTGTGCCTCCAGTACCAGGAATGTGGGTAGTCATAAAAAAATAGCCTGGATTTGGGCTGATAAGGCTCAGGACAGATACTAAAGAGTTTATTAATTCTCAGCCTGATCCTTTCCTCTTTTCACCCATTTTTTAAAGTTCTCCAGTTTCTATCTAAGAAAAAAGTAACTGGAGGGTCTGATACAGAAAGACAAGTGATCCAAACAACAAATGACACGTTGCATTTAAACTGTCCTTGTTAGGGCAAAGTTCTGCATTATTTCCATGAGGATCATAAAAAGAAACAGAAAGTTTATTTAATTTCATGTTATGTTTTGATGACATATTGAACTAAGCCAAATTTATAGCTTGATCACTTCAGCCAGTGACTTTGCAGTGCAAAGAACCAATTTTCTTCATGAACGTTGTACACAGCAAAGCCCATAAAAAACTTGAAACTTTACTGGGAAGCCAGAAAGAGAAAGGGAGACATGGCAAGAAGCTGAGTTTGTAGAGTTCAAGTCTAAATGCCTTCAAATACAGAGAGGCTGTAATACTGTTTTGTTTCTGTACCCTGATCAGGAGCCTCAGTCTGACTATAAGCCACCTGTAGGATATGAACTCCAGGGTGCAGACCCAGTATTATAACTGGTTTGTTTATGGTGAATGCATTTCCTGAAACAAAGACATGGGCTCGAGCCTCTGTTTTTCTTTTTCTTTTCTTCTTTGTTCTTTTTTGTCTTTTTTTCTATTTCTTCTCTTTTCTTTGTTTTCTCTTTCTCTTTCTCTTTCTCTTTCTCTTTCTCTTTCTCTTTCTCTTTCTCTTTCTCTCTCTCTCTCTCTCTCTCTCTCTCTTCTCTTTCTCTTTCTCTTTCTCTTTCTCTTTCTCTTTCTCTTTCTCTTTCTCTTTCCCTTTCTCTTTCTCTTTCCCTTTCCCTTTCCCTTTCCCTTTCCCTTTCCCTTTCCCTTTCCCTTTCCCTTTCCCTTTCCCTTTCCCTTTCCCTTTCCCTTTCCCTTTCCCTTTCCCTTTCCCTTTCCCTTTCCCTTTCCCTTTCCCTTTCCCTTTTCCTTTCCCTTCCTCTTCCTCTTCCTCTTCCTCTTTTTCTTTTTTCTTCTTTTTCTTTTTCTTCTTTTCTATTGCCTTTTTTTTTTCTTTTTCTTTCAGCCTAGAAATTTTTAACCAAATCACACACACACTGTGCATGTGCTTTGAAAAATCTTCCCACGTACATTTACCTCACTGTTTCCTTGGCTGTATGAAGCCATGAGGAAAAAAAAACAAGCTTAGCATCTGCCAGATTACAATTTTTGTTTCTCCCCCAGTTATTTATTTATTTACTTTATTATACATATTGTTAATGGGTTATACTACTCCTTGATATGTTTTAAAACTCCCAAGGATTCAGCTGTTGCAATGCATGTTAGCTTAATAAAAAACAAACAAAGAAACAGCAAACATGTGTGGGAAAGGAACCAACCGTACTCACTGTGAACACAGCAGTGTGCAGAATGGACATCTTTTTCCTCTAGTTCCTCTTGTGATTCAATCTTTTTTTACACATGAACCAGAGAGTAACATTTGATCTCAGTTTGACTTCTGAGATAGGTCACTGTCTGATTGGGGAGCAGAGTTACATAGAGATGATGTGTCTGTTTGGAGATCAGAATCTTGTGGCTAATGGGGAGCAGATAGGAAGCCATAAATCAAAATAAATGCCTTTGTTCCTACTGTGGCTGAAATGGACTCTCATGGTATCCAGGGACAGCAGAGGATTTGGAAAGAAAGGTTGTATTGTGATGGTGTTTTTCCTGTGGTGGGTAACTCAGTGTTGCATGGGAAGATGAGAAATGGCTCTAACATAGACTGATCAGAATGAATCAGCCTCTCATTCCGCAAAATAGCCTCTGTGAGAGCCAGAGGGGTTCAAGTCAAAACAAGGATTGTTTTTGGTAGAAATAGAGTTGGTTGTTTCAAGGAGAGCAAGAGTAAATAACACAGATATCGATAGGCTTGGGTCTCTTTTGATAAAAGCTTAAAGATCTTTTTAGTCTCTTTTTCTTCTTGCTTTAGAAACTAGAGTGCTTTGAGGGATGAAACAGTGAGTGAAGGCTGCAATGAGGAAGAAGCAAAGTCTTGAACTTCTGTCTGTATTGAACTTCTGTCTGAGCTTCTGTATTAGCGGGATGATAACTAGACTAAAAAAAATTGAGAACTGACAAGTTCAGCACCAGTGTTTATAGAAATAAACCAGGGATACAAAAAAGTAAAACAAACAAAAAAACCCAACAAAAAACAACTAACAACAATGAAAGCACGTGAGTAATTGTCATATTTTCCTTCCCTGAGGAGAAACACTTGTATTTAAACAAACGGAATATACACAAGTCTGTGGGACTGATGGGCTTATCCCATGAGAGCTGGGGGAGCTAGCCAACGTCATTGTGAGGCCTCTTTTGATTATCTTTGAAATGTCATGGCCATCATGAGGAATTCTTGAGAACTGGAAGAAAGCAAACATTACCATTATCTTCAGGAAGGGCAAGAGGAGGAACTACAGGACGATCAGCCTTACCTTAATCCCTGGAGAGATGATGAAGCAACTAATCTTGGCAAACAATTCCAAATATAATAGGAACAAGGAGGTGATTAGGAAAAATTAACATAAATTTATGAAGGGGAAGTAATGACTGACCAACCTGATAACTGTTTGTGATGAAATGACCATCCTGACAGTGGAATGAAGATCAGTAGATACTGTTTACCTTGCCACTAGCAAAGAATATGATACTGTCTCCCATAACATCCTCGTAAATAAGCTGATGAGGTATAGCTTTGGTAAGTGAGAAGTAAGGTGCACTGAAAACTGGCTTACCTGCCAGGCTCAAACAAATGTGATCAGTGACATGAAGTCCAGTGGAAGTCAATCAATTGTAGTATATCCTAGGAGTTAATAGTAGGGCCAAGTAACAGCTGAAGCATCTTTCATATGAAGAGAGTTTGAGAAAGCTGGGACTGTTCAGTCTGGAACAGTCAGGAATTAGGCTCAGGGGGTATTTCTCAGTGTGTATAAATACCTGATGGATTGAGTATGGAAGATGAAACCAGGCTTTCCTCAGTGACACCCACTCGCAGGATAAGACACAATGGGCACAAACTGAAATACAATAAAGTCCACTTAAATATAAGGATAAACTTTTTTACCATGATGTTAACTAAACACTGAAAAAGAGTGGGGCCTGCATTCTTGAAGATATACAAAATCCATTGGACATGATCCTGAGTAACCTGATGTAGTTGGCCTTGCTTTAAATGAGGGGTTTGGTTTGGACCAGAGGTGTGTCTTCTGTGATTCTGTAATCATATACTGTAGGAGTTTGAGAAGGCTAAGATATACTTCAAGTGTTCTGTTTCTAGTTAGATAGATAGTGAAAAACTACCAAATATGTTTGAGGGGAAGAAGAAAGGCAAAGAAGAATCAAAGGACTCATTGTTCTACAGAAATGTTCCATTCCTGTTTGTGATACACTTGTTAGTGTAGTGCTATAAAAGTGCTGATCATTTGATTTGCTTTTTAAATTGTTATTGCAAGTAATACATGGTCATGGATCCTTTCACTTTCATTTGCAAAAGCTCCATGAATATTCAAAGGATTGGAGATTGGATCAAACGTTATCCAACAAAGACCATATTGAGAATACTAATATACTAATATACTAATATATTCCAGATTAAGTTTTTCCCCTTAGAGTTAAAAAGCAGTGGGAACTGCTTGATTCTTATAAGCTAGAGAGTTTTACATACTTAAAATATTGTGTTTCTCCTTAACAACTCTAAAATAAAAAAAAAACCATATATATATATAAATTGAAGAGTCTAAAGAGCACAAATATAAGGAAAATGACTCTGCAAAATAGCACTGTGAGATTTCTTTTTCTCTCAGAGATATATATCAGTCTCAAAGGAAAAGTAAATTACTCTTTAATAATTAACCTTGCTGAACACCAAGCTTGAGTTGAATTAATCACATTAATATTGTATATCTTTCCCATCATAGGAAACAATACTAAAAAAAAAAAAAATTGAACTTCAGTGTAATTTTTAGTGTGATGATTGCATGTGTTTGTTAAGTGTCCACCCGCTCTGCTTCTGGGATGCTCACAGTACTCTCCTCCCCAGCTTCCCAGCACCTCACTGGCTGCTACCCCCTTCTTCATCCATTGGGAAAAGAAACGTAGTCCTAATCAGGTAGCATCTGTGTTGTGGGGATCTGTGCCTGTGGGTCCCAAGAAAAGGGGAGATTGTTAGGATGTGCCCATAGCTCTCTGGGAAGCTGGCTGAGAGAGCACTAACTTTTCTGGTCCTGGCAGAAAGCTGCAGATTGTGATGAATAGGGTGGGTATATCTGTGAGACCAGGAGCTTATGGAAATACACAAAGTGAGACAAACTGATGGCAAAGATATAGCCATACTTCTGTAGTTGTAGGAATGCTCATCTGGCCTTCTACAGTCAAGAAAAACTGGATACCTCCTGCAGCATTAAGATGGTTTAGAAAATGTTAGACTTCAGCTACCCAATGGAAATCACTCAGTCCCACATCTCTGGTGCTCTCAGCCATATGATAACCATAGCATTTTTGTTTCAAAATTGTGATAGGGAGGATGTCTCATCACTCCAAGCATAATGTGGCCTCATTTCTCCCTTTAATGGGTCTTCTTTCAGGCCTGGGGAGAAAAAAAAATGATGTTTTTTCTAGTTTTTGCCACATCAGGCTTGGTGTATCTGGACATAGGATGGCTGTTTTAGTAGCTGGAGAATCTGGTTGTCCATACTGACTGTCTCTCTGGTTCTGCATGGTTCTATCTGAAAGCAAGTAGCCAGCACCCTCTGGCAGAGGGAGGACCGAGATTGCTCAAGGATCTGGCGTGTGACAGAAAGGTTCCTTGCCACAATGGTATGTGAGGAGAAGCTGGTCTGATTGTTCCATGTTGTGTGGAGGAAGAAGCAGCTGGGAAGCAGAGCGAGGCTGTGAGCCAGACCAAAGGTGTACAGTGAATTTGCAGCTGTGCAAACATCAGCCTGTGTTCATTAACTTTCATGAGCACAGATTGAAGCCATATATACACAAAACCTTTGATTCTGGGCTTCAGTCCCAGTAGGACTTGATAGTTTGCATTTAGTTAGAGCAAGATTCAGAGCTGGTATAAGGAGGTGATCCTTTGTCTTAGACAGGCCAGCTTCTAGAATCTGAAGAAGCAGGCCATGCTAAATAGAAATTGAATTAGATATTGTGACTTTTTTTTGGTACCTTATTCTGGCTTTCAGTTTTAAAAGTAGGCTATTAATTGTGTGGTAAGAAGCTTTGTGATTTATGCAGCAAAGCTGAGTCCATATAGACACCATTTTCCTTTGTACTTGTGCATGGAAATCGGTATGGATTGTCTTCCAAAGTATTGCTTTCCCTGGCACTTTCCTGTTGTTACTTGTGTGGATCCCATTAAAAAGGCAAACGTGTGTGTATGTTCACTCACATGACAGACACGGCCACTGCAGAGGCTCTCTGAAAATTCACTGAACTTCAGCAATCTGGTAGCTTCAGCAGATTTCCTAAGGAGAGACACATGTAGTCAAGGCCAGGATCTGTTCCACCTAAATAAATAAATAAAGGTTACATATCCCGGAAGATCCATTTTCCAGTGTCCTTAACCTTGTCTTTGCTGATGACCTTCTTATTTATTTATTTACTTCTTTTCAAACTGAGCTTTTCATGGCCATTGACATAAATTTTCCAGCATTTCTAATACAGAACATCTGTGGTCCCTATGCAGTGTCCTCTATAGGTCATGGGAAAGCTTTATCTTACTAATAAGCTTCATTCCTCTATATATTCAAGCCCAATTGATGGGGCCAAGTGTGTTTATAAATAAATATTGTCTTGTAATGACCATTTCAATATGTCCCAGAGGAACAGAGTTTTAGTCCTTTTGAGTTGGCCAGCTGCCTTCTTTGTGACAGTGAGAACAGTTTTACTCTGTCTGGTTAACATTTGATTTATGTGGAAACAAACTCCCTGAAGTGACAGAGCAATGATACTGAAGAATTCAGTGCTCCCAGCCACTTGTAATAGCTAGGGAAGTTTGTTCATCCATCCACTGTTTTCATCAAACAGAATGATGGGTATGTTTATTGAACACCTCTATTTGCCCCTGACTAACTCTCTCTGCTACAGCCCAATAAAATACAAAAGCAGGAAGAAGGTAACTGGGTTGTGTTTTAATGCTTCTCACTTATCTTTCAGTATGAGAAATGACTTACATGTAACGGACATTACTGCCATATGGAATAATACACTTGCTAGGAGTTCAGAGAATGAATTGCAAAAATTGGCTCTTCTTATAGAATGCAACAAGAAATATTCTGTAATATGCCTTCTCTTCTAAAATTAAGCATGAACTAAGAGCTCTTTATTACTGGAAGATGACATTCTGTATCAGTGGTTTATTTCTTAATACTGTCCTATAGGAGAGAGAATATATCATACATCTGACACGAGTCTTGATCTGCTCTGCGCTCTTCCATCTAAGCAACACTGCAACAGAATTCAGTATCCGTCTTTTAAAACCCCTTGAAGGTTTTCAGAGAAAATAAGTTGCAGGTTTTGGAAGATCAATATTCAGGACTAATGGAGTGTATCTGTTAACTTTCATTGCTTAAATTGTTGCTTAGATACATATATGAATGTATTTGTATAGATATATACACTGAGCAAAGAATGTTTATTCCAATTCTCCCAGTTTTTTATTTTATGGACAGAAAATAATGTCTATGGATGTATATGATTTTTTTTTCTTGCAAAGCCAGTCTGATAAGCAGCCTTCAGTAAGACGAATTGATCAGTACTGAAAATTGATTCTTGTGCCTAGAATTTCACCCTTTTCTATATTCTGTCAGCAACAGTGTGACTCTTTCAGGTGGTGAGATAAGCATTTTTCCTGCAACGCTTTGTATAAATCCAATGAAAGATGCCATAAGAAAAAGACATATCAAAAATGCGTCTCCACCCGTTATTCCTTGATGTCGTACAAAAGTATGACAGATTAAACCACAGTAGTGTCTTACCACGACTACAAAGTCTGCACTAAATCATCAGATTTAAAACAAGAAATCTACCATCTTTAATCAAATTTTAGGCCATAACAGTTTAAGAACGCATAGTGTTGAGCATGGTTAGGCATTCTTATCCCAGAGAGAAATAAAAGCAACCCCCTTGACCCTGGAGACCTGAAGAGTGGAAGAGTTTTGGCTCCATATTTAAGCCTTATCTCCCTTATCTCTTCACAGTCTATGGGTTTTCAATGATTTTTAAAAAGACATTTCTTGGAATTGTATAACATCACTGTATGCCTTAGCTGATGACTCGTGGCACCACAGGCACACTACTTCCAGGAGAATGGGTGACCTGAGCTGTCCCTTGCACACCTGGGGACAAAAAGTAGCAGTGAACAGAGCTGACTGTAGACAGAGGAAAAGCAGGGGTGTGCCTGTGAATCTGGGGTAACCAAACTGCAGACTGGACTAAGGAAAGAAAAGGAGCTTATTTAAGAGTGTAATCATTTTCCAGAACGTAATTTTATTATACAGGGAAAACCAAGTTGTTAATCTTCTTCATGTGTGAGAGTTTTAGCACTAAGTAAGGAAATGCTATGTCAAAATAGTGAACTTATTTTGAGTGCCTAGGTGTTTCGTGACAATCCAACTCTGGCTGATGCACAGAGAATAAGACAAATCCTCCCTTTCCTGTTTTCTGGGGCATGTTCTGTAGGAACAGCAGAAAGCCATCTCCTGTAATTTCAGTTATTAAAATCCTATGGTGTTTTCAATTCCTTTCTCACAATAGAAGAGTGCATGTCAGAAAGTGATGTGTGGCTTGTTATCTCATTTTGATACCAATGAGATTCTGCATTGCAAACCTCAGACAGGGCTCTTCTGTTTCAAATAGCAAAAGGAAAGTCACATCAGTAGGAAATTATTCCAAAATACTGTTTGTAGGTAATCCATTCTGTGATACCAAAATAAAATAAAATAAAATAAAATAAAATAAAATAAAATAAAATAAAATAAAGCAAATCTTGCGTCAAAAAGCCCTTAACTGATCTGCTGTACTGTGATCTGTTCATTTTTTGTTATGTAAACCTTGTGACAGCTTTGCTTTCCACTGGTGGTGGGAAATTCTCCCAAGGAGAAATGTGTCTCTTACTTCCTCTGGGAATGCTCAGTACCCTGGAGATGCTTCTTGTTTGACATTTTGTTTCTCAAGTGATTACTCGGCTTTTGCTCAGATGAGAGAAGTCATTCTTCTTTCCCTGATGTCAAGTAGTACATGTAATTATGTAACAGCAAGGCTCTTTCCTTTATGCTTCAGGCTACACTGGCTTACAATAATAAATATACAGGGTTTGTTCTCCCAGCGCCTGTTTGAGTGACTGGGCTGAGCTGCTTTGTAGTGGGCATTGCATGGGTCTCTGGAATCCCCAGTTCTGTAATGGGCTGTCCATCCCTGTTGCCATGGGTTTTCTCATTGGGAATTTGGGGGCAGGAGCCAGCAGACCCGAGTGAAAACAAGCTCAGCATCCATGGCATAAGGTGTCAGTAACGACTGGTGCAACTCCAATGTGCATAGTACTGAACTGGAGGGCACTTTCACTGAAACAGAGACATTCCCTGCTTTGTTTATAAAATGAAAACACGTATTTGTTCTATCTGCTGGAAATATGGCAAAATTACTGTAAATAATACTTGTAAAATAGATTTCCAAATTTCATCTGGAAAGCCTGAAGTCCTCCACAGAAGACCACACTGTGGCAGCTAGGAATTAGGATTAAAAACAGAAGTTCAGATTATGTCAGAACTAATTGCAGATTTCAGCTAAGCGGGGCATCTATTGTATGTCTGATAGCGTTTTCTGGCACAAACTGCCTGCTGTCACAGCACTTACAAAGCACTTTAGCACTTTAGACTTTAGAAAGTCACAGGAGGGACAGAGCTAATAAATGCACACAGGTGATCCAAGTAGGGTATCAAAGTTTCTTGTCAATGTACATCTTTATAGTAGCCTTTCACATTCATACTCACACCCAAAGATGTTCCACTGATGTGAAGCCGGATGTGTGCAGAGCCTTGTTGAATTACTTTGGATAAGTCGAGTGTTAAACAGTCTTCCTTCCTTCCTTCCTTCCTTCCTTCCTTCCTTCCTTCCTTCCTTCCTTCCTTCCTTCCTTCCTTCCTTCCTTCCTTCCTTCCTTCCTTCCTTCCTTCCTTCCTTCCTTCCTTCCTTCCTTCCTTCCTTCCTTCCTTTTCTTTAAAAAACAACAATACAATAAGGTGGGAGTTTTATTATGAAGCAGCCAGTGGAAGAGCACATCCATCATTTCAAATAGCATCAAACTGTTCTGCGGTGTCTGGAATACTGTTCCTCTTGAAAAGCAGGCAAGTAATTCAAAAACAATACTGAACAAGAAGGTACAAAATAGGGAAGCTGGGAAGGTTCAACCACTACTGCCATACCACCAACATCCAACTCCAGTGTCGGGCCAACATCATAAAATAGGAGACATTACTTTCAGAGCAACCCTCGTATAATAACAATGATGACAAAATTCTTAATGTGTCAGAGTATGAAACAAAAGCACACTTCAGTTATACAGAAAGGACAGCAGGAAACTTCCTGCTATTTTCATTTCCTGCAGAGGTTGCACAGAGATGTCTAAACAAAGACATTTGTGTTTGTATGTAAGTCAATAACTCTCTGGGATTAGAAGATGCACATCAACCCTGCCTGGGAAGGGATGAATCGGGATTGGGAAAAGTCCCCTTATAGACAGAGTTATGATCTGGAAATCCTGCCACTATTCAGAGTTGTCCTTCCTGCTTGGACTTTAAGCTCTTAAGCATATATTCAGCTTCAAAGTCCTCCTTGAGAACCATCCTAGTTTGGAGGTGACTTAAGGCAAATGTACAGAAATCTCTGAACTGCTTAGGATTTCAACAGTGCCAAGATGTTTCTGTCTATTTCAGTGAATAAGAGCATCATCTGTTTTATAATGATGCTCTCATTCATTCATACTTAGTCATACTTAATTTGGTACCTATGTGTTATCATGTACTAGCCAGCACAGCAGCTGACATCCAGCACCTGCAGATTTCCCTTTCAGAGGTCTTGAATCATTCATATCTGAAATAATCAGAATCACATTTACTTTACCAAGAGGAATAAGACATTTTGAGAGAAATAATTTTAAAACTGTGAAAAGCTGATGTTCACTTCTGCTTTCCTTAAAGGCCAGTCATTCCTTGACCTCTCTAGTGCATTCCCACATTAGCCAGGTTGCCTGGAGGTGTCGTCTCCTTCTCCCATGGATGATGTCTTCCCTCAAGACTGCTGCAGGAGTTTGATTTCTGTTTCCCTCAGAATCCATCTTTTCCTGTTGTATTTTTTCAATAGAACACATGCTGAAGGATGGCTTTTCCTACCATTCTTGATTTTTCTGCTTCTTTTGCCCACCAGATCCTTATTAAGCTGATTCACCACAGCTGCACTCTAGAAACTGGTTCAGCATTCACTGTCCACTGTTTAGTACAGAGAATCAAGTTCATTCAGAGGGCAGAAGAGAATATTCAGAGTCA